TACACAAATCAGAGAAATTTAGTGAAAGCAGATTTTACTTTCAATTAACGTGACTAAAAAATGTTAATATAATTTTTCGCGTTGTACACAGAATTAGCACAAATAATTAGAGTGATTATTAACAATGTCACTAGCTCATTTAATGAGAAATAAGATTTTTAAATGGCAATAAGATGTTTATTTTTACGATTTATAGTTGACCCTCTGGCATACGTTATCGCCTTTTTTGTAAATTTTTACACCTCCTTTCCTTTTACGAGTAGAATAACAGATATAGGAACTCTCAAATGTCTTTTATTCCCTGCTAGAAAGGGGAAAATACGAAAAGCATGGCGAGAGATGTCTATCTGACAATATCGTCGCCATTCTAGAGAGCTTCACCTTCGAACATTTGCATAAAATTATTATTGTCGCAGAAAATCGCGGTTGTTTCACTTTCTTTATGGAACATCGTAGAATATCACCGATTGGTTCGTATTATGTTCCTGATCGTGTATGTATTATACACGGAGAGAATTTTTTCTTAGAGTTTATCCTGAAAATATGATAGTGGGACAACATTGTATTTCGAAGAATTTTAATGTAAATCTCTCTCATTCATTGATAAAACTACAATAAAGTATAAAATAAGTTTGATTAATTTTACTGAAGTGCATGGTAAAAATCTTTAAAATATTGTATTGTACCACAACTACCATATTTTCAGGGAAAATTTTAAAAGAAAATTCTCCCCGTGTATATATATATTTTGCATTATATTATATTATATTATATTATCTTCTCCACAAAAAAAAGAAGACAGATTAATAGTTTATTTATGCCATCATAATATTAATAATGTAAAAATCTCTTTTCATTCTAAAAAAATTGTAACGTACAATTTACAATTTTATTTGGAACAAGAGGGAATGATAATAAAAAGGATGAGAGGGGGAGAGAGAGAGAGAGAGAGAGAGAGAGAGAGAGAAAGACAGAGATAAGTGCAACGATACGAACCCCACGCTTTTATAGCGCTCCATTTGGCGTAACAACGAGCGTGGAAACTTCTTTTAGTGCCGGGCTACAGATTTCGGGCCGAAACATGCGTACGATTATGGGGTTTCAGATTATCAATTTGTTATACCGTGTTTATTATTTGAGCTTTGTGCAAACGGGTGAGCCACCCGCATCTTGCTACTGAAACCCTCTGCTGCAGCTGTGAAGCGTATACTATACTTAGACGGTTTGGGGGATAATCTGGAATATTTTATGCGGCGTTATTCTTCCAGATGTTTTGCGCCAATGTGCAAGTTGGAAAGATTGTATGTATGAGAATGTATGAGAATTACGTTTCTTCCTTTCTATAATTCGTCTTGCCAGATTGAACGGACTCCGCATCAAATATTTGCAATCATCGCGCACAACGGTTGTTAACACTCCTCGCTGTTTGAATGATAGCGACTGTAATATGTATTTGTAAGCATATATCAAACATATTGCATATACATAACCTTTAATCTGCCGATTCTTTAATAAATTTAGAAGCAATATAAAACTTATTTATACCTATGTCACCATTGATTTAAGAACAATTAATAATAAGTTAATAATAAAATGATTTTTATTTATAATATATTACGAACAGTATTTTTTATCGGAAGAACGTGATTGGCACAGATTTATCATTTATATCAGCAAATATAAAACAGATTATTTTCGGTGTATTTTATTATACATTGAATTTATTTTTATGAATATTGTCGTTATAAGACTCTTTTCTTTCCCATGAGCAATGGTAGAGACAGCGGATTGTGGAATATCATAGTAGCTGGGATTTTCTAGGAGAGTTATCTCTAATTCAGTGAGGATTTACTTGCCAATGAATCTTTAAATTAGATGCTCCGTTCTTTTCGTACTGCGCTCTTACCCGAAGGGTAAAGCCCTGCTCACTCAATCACCTATATCATGGAATTGCCAAGTATAGTCAATTCCTTCCACCCTTCTTTCGTTATCGAGTCTTTATGCCCTCCTTTCCCTCAGTTTCTCTTCGCTTACCGATATTTGTGTCTCGCCATAGGCTTTTAGAAAATCCACTCTTATATCCTCGTTCCCGTTATTTTTTCACACAAGTCTAAAACTATATCATAATTTTATTTAACAATTTTGCGAACATCAAGCTAGACTATTAGTGACATCAAGTATCACCGCTATATTAATTAATGACGGAAACGTAGCCCGACGTAGTTTAGTAAGAAGCAGTTCGGCCACGAAAATGGCCGTCCCGCAGGAGGGTGTAAGACGAAAGACGGAAGATAGCGGCGTGAGGATGATGATAATCCAGCTTCTAGCCTAGTCCTATCCCGAGGGATGCAGGGATTAATTGACACATCGGCGTCTTGGAGGAGTCTGCTGGGTTGACGCCTCTGCTTTGGCACCCACCGACGTGACTGATGAGACGCCTGGAACAAGGCGTCGGGAAAAACACTCGTAGATTCGTGGCTTTTTTGTAGAAAAGGTATCCAGCAAGAATTACCGACGAAGCATGGAACGTCGGTCGCGCCTCTTCTCCTGGCAAATAACTCAACTAATCAGACCACGTTCTCCTTCATCGTCCCATCCACGGCGTTCCCGAACTAAAACATCTCAGCTGGAGGGCACGTAGATGTAACAGATTGAAATTTAATACGAGCAGCATGGTGACACATACGAAAAGACGAGATGTTACTTAAGGTTTCGTAGACCACGCCATCCTCATAACGGAGATAGCGCCGTCTTGGATAGAAATTCATTAATGAGGGTTCGACAGTTAAATCGTAATAATAAGATAATGAGTTTAATTTCTGTTGGCTACAATTCATGGAAATTTAGATATGATTAAAACTAAAAAGAAATATACATTTAAATAAAATAAGATAAATTCAATCAAAAACTGAAAAATAAGTCTAATATAAAATTTTTATTAATATTATTACAGCATACAAGACGTAATTTTTTAAATTATATATTTAGAAAATTAGATTAAAATTTTCATAGATATGCAATTTTTGTACGCTCTCATTGTCAGAAGTATAATTATAAAGATGTGCATGATTATTATATATAGACTCGCAAATCACAAAGAGATGACCGAGGCAGCGCGCGATAAGGGATAACACGGTAGTTGAAAGCAAAGAGCCGACGTGTACGAGGCGTCGGTGGCGGCACCCCATGTGAGTTATGGCCGTCCCGACGCTCTCTCCCGCTAGTCCTGGGCTCAATTTACAGATGATTCCGCGTGTTACCGCCTGGCCAGCGGCTGGTTAACCTCCGTGCCAAACACTTAATCTTCCGACGTGTCCTGCGGACGGACCGACCACGTTTTGGAGTCGGCACGACGTTAAATCGCCGTTGTAGACGCAAGATCGATGTGAGAAAGAGAGAAACGGGGATAGATAAATAGACCAAGACGTCTGTAGGGTCCCGGACGTTACCGAACGGTGACCCTAGTGGCCCATAAAGTTAGTCAACCCTTATTCGGATTGTATTGCTATCCACTATTATATGAGCTTCAATGACGCGTGGAGTATCATGTAATTCAACGTGTAAATTAATGCACATTAAAAAGATATAGTCTACATTCCGTTTATCATTATTTATTGTATTTAAAAATATTGTAATAAAAGTATAAGTAATTAAAAGCCTTGCAAATTAATTTCACTATGCTAACTCGGGAAAATATGTGTGCAGGTTACTCGTTTTCCAAACAACTTGTTAGCTATTGTAAGGCTATTGGAGACCAATAAATTTATATCGTGAATCTCTCCATAAATTTATCGGTTGGTCCTCGATTAGCCTCGCAATATCCAACAAGTTGTTGGAAAAATAATTGCTGCAGATATCTTTCCGACATAACATAGCGAAGTTAATTCACGACACGTTTATTTCTGTATAGAAATACTATACAGGATTTCATTAAGTCTTCATTAAATATAATAATAAATGCAATACATAAATGAAGTATGTAGAACGTATTTTTTGGCATATGACACATTAATTTTACATGTAAATTATACAGTACATTGTAAATTACAAATGAGCGAATTGTACAAATTAAAAAGCATAATTCTGTCCAGAAGCTATATGTTGACTTTCTGTTTTCGAAAATTTTATTTCATCTAGATGCCATATTTTGTTCAGATGATAATATATCATAATTGGCTATCTAAATATTTGTAAATGTCTAGAAATCTGTGGTATTGACACGTTCCAGACGTGTTCCAGATGTGCCACATCGCTAGTAGGAAACGAACGGCTTGAAACTGTTATTAGCCGTCGGATAGGCACCCCATGGTGAACCACAATGTAGCGGTGAGGAGCCAATAGACTCCTAATGTTGTAAATGGCATGCCGAATCCTAATGGCCACGTTAATTGACATTCACGTTTGTCACTATATTTTTTTGACAAATTTCATTATTATGTTTGCTCAATATAGATTTTAATAGAAATAATGAAGATCAGAAAATCTATTTCTCTCAATTCTCGACTCGCTAAGGTTTTTAAATATAATCTATACAATAAACATAATTTTTAAGTAATAAATTTTAAATAAATACTTGACTCGATTTTTAAGTAATAAATTTTAAACGATTTTTAAGTAATAAATTTTAAATAAATACTTGGTTTTAAAATTATTAATTATTAATTATTGTTAATGAATAACAAGAAAAATAATTGGTACAGGGTATAGTAATTTTTCGTTGAATATATTATAATATTATAATTATAATGCGTTGTCTTTATATAATGATGGTAATTGAAAGAATTCCGTTTTTTATTATTTTTTAAAGCTTTAATTTTCCTAAAACTATTTTTTTTTGCTAACAGTTATGTGATGACTTATGAAACTAAACAGTTTTGAGTAAAAATAAGCGAAAAAGGCCTTATTTGTTCACTTGATCGAATATGGCCTTATTCGTTTATTGGTTTTAAACATTTCTGGATTAATTTTTTTACTATTGTTTAAATAATTTGATGACTTACCTTGCTGATTACTTTTCCTAGTAGTTTTCTTTTCTTTCATCCAGGGATACTCAGGAACGTTGACACCCGACGGGTCAGCGACACCATGGGGATCCATCATGGTATGATACGCAGGATGATGAGCACCAGGACTGATGGAACCACCGGTTCCCGGCGAGTGTGCTAGGCTACTATCCCCAGCTAATTGTGGCAATGCCGTCATGAATTCAGCCATGGAGGGCTGACTATTGATGAAGCCGGTTTCGGCGGATCCACATGTTGGATCCATGACTGGATGATGAGTTCCGTGCGGGGGCAGCCCGGCTGGGGTACTTGCCCCCGTGGCCACCGTGGCCAGCCAGAAGCCGCCCCCTCCGTCGTTCGCCAGGACGGGTGTCGTCGGCCTCGTCTTCACGGTCGATAGCTCTTTACTCGCGTGGACCAAATTCTGAAGATGATTGCTAAGCTGCAGATTGCGAGAGCTGGACAATGGCGGTTGGCGCAGATCTTCTTCGGGAAGTACCAACGTTTGTTGCTTGCTACGCATGGGACAATACGGACTTGTAGTATGTCTCTTCTGATGAATGTAGCAATCAGAGAATGACTTGTAATTAATTGTTGACCGTGGGATATTGACTAATCCCTTTTTCACGATGTCCTTTTTTGATGTAATTTCAAAATGTAGCGTAGCCTTTGAAAAATACCCTATGCACTTAAATTCACTCGATAAATGTCTCACTAAAAGTTTCGTTTATTCTTCAACTTTCAAAATGTATGTATATTTATTTATTATGTATTTTTACATTAAAATATCGCATTGTCATTAATAGTGGAAATTTGTTAAGTTAAAATTTATTTTTAAGAAGGCTCTAGAGAAAAGCATGGATATGCTTGTATAGCCTCTAACTTATTATTATCATTTCTTTCATATATTGTCATTAATATGCGTATGATGCAAAACTTTATTCATTCTTTACTTTTATAACACAAAATCAGTTAATTTTCATGCGAATTTTTCATGCGAAGCGTCGCTTTTCTTCGATTACACTTATTACTTACTTGCGTTATGGTTTATGCCAAGAGGTACATCGATCAACAATTGGTTAATTACAATTGTTTAGTACATTTTCATTACACACTGTGGTACTCACTATGATATATTATCATCATTATCATAAACTGTATATCCGTATTCATCTTCTTTTATAAACTAACTGGAATAATTTGTGTGTCTCATGATATTTAATCTGACGTCAACGAGAAGCAAATTTTTGAACCACGCTACGAACATGACACTGCTTACTCGAGGTCGACATAGCTCAGACAACAGATCCAATTCATAGATCTGCCATCTCAATACAACCAAGCACAGATCACCACTGTCACACGTAGTCGCGACGGGTTGATCGATAGTCCGACCGATCGACGGCGAACGCCGTGCCGAATCGCGCGTACCGCGACTGCTGTTACCGTGCCGATCGGCCGAAACCCAGACAAGCGGGCTAGGGTACACCAAGCCAGTCACCGATCGCGGTATACTTGCTAAGTGACGAAGGAGTGAGAGGATGTAGAGATAGTAGTCGAAGGAAGGTGGGGGTCCGAGAAGTCCGTGGTGGAGGTACCTGCCAAGCGAGAAGGTGCGGCAGAAGAGGCGAAGGACGTCCCGTAGAAAGAGACGGCTGTCTCCAGTCGCCAGGACCGAAATTTCCACGATCTTTTTCGCCTCTCTGGTGTTCCCGGTGTCTCTGTTGTTACTGCTGTCTCTTTCCTCGTTCCGGGAGGGGGCGGCTGGGAGTCCACTTTGGCATCGAGGTGGAAGTCGTCCTTTAATGTGGCGGCGGCCCGATCACGTGACTTCGCTCGTCGGAATGGAGCGACCAATCGTGGAGCGGTAACGCGAGCGGTGAGGCACAGCCCTCCGCCGACGTAGGCGGGCTGGCCTGTCGTGGCGACGGTGGCCTTGGAGGGCTCGGAGGGCACACAGCCAGGAGGGTACGACGACCAGGTCCGTGCCGTGAGAGTGCAGGCGGGCGACTCTCGTGCGGACGAGCACGAGGCCCGTTTGGGCGGCCACGGTTACCCGGCGCAACTGTGGGCGGTACGCGCGAGCGCGTCGTTCGGTATCCCGCGAAGTGGTGGGGAACCTTCTCACGTGCTCGGCCACGCGGTCCTCCACCTTCGTTGGATCGTTGGATGAGCCTTCGAATCAAGGTACGACAGTCTTTAGTTTAATTTTTATTAACCCACGAATGATACTGCGAATTCATTGTCAAGTTTCGCATAAACACCGGAAACGTTAAAAACAATTTGTCAAATTATTTATTCTCGACACGTTCCATTTTGCCTTGGACCTGGTCCAACAATGTCTTTTTTTCTTTGTATTTGTCATGTAATAATAATAGTATAGCTTTTGGGTTGAATGTTATTCTTTCGGGGAAAGGAATGGTCTTTGGATATTTTTTTTCAGAACGGAATGTCTTTGAGTCGGGTATTATTCTCTCGGAATAATTCAAAGTTGTGATTTATAATTGTAAAGCAAAATATTTTAATGGCTAATCGTATATTTATAAATCGTATACAATTATCCATTAAGATATTTTACTTTTATTACAAATCCCATCCTAGGGTTTAACAATCGGCCCAGTACTAGGCCAGGATTGACTGCCATAGTTCAAGTACTGACGCAGTACTGGGCAAACTACTGGCCCAATACTGGTTAAATATTGGATGATAACTTGGGCCCAGTATTGACAGATGACACTGACTCAGTCATTTTAGCCAGTCATTTGCATACAGTGATGGCCCAATACTGGCTGACAGAACTTTGGCCGTCATTTGTCAGCCAGTCATTTGCCAGTGATGTCCCAGTACTGATTGACAGAAACTTTGTCGTCGGTTGACGTCCTGGCTAAGCTGATTTCGTTGTAACTGCTGACGATTCTATATGGAATGGTGCGGTTACTTTTCTTTTTATGTTGGTTTCGTTTATTCATTTACTTATTATTTAGAGACGGGAAATGTGTCGACGCAACGCACGCATACAAGAAAAATTTCAACTATCCACCCATAATCAATCCATGTATTGGAATGTAAATTGTTATATTTGTATACATATATATTTATATCACGCAAATATGATATACAGAATGCTTCTTCAAAAGCGAATTTGATACTGGATAGGTTCATGGGTCGAATGCACCCGTGTCGTTATTGCAACGGTCAGAATTGCTGGGGGCGCGCCGACTGGCATCGCGACGGTTCGCTGTGGAGCAGTTTTGATGACAGATTACCCTGATCCGCTTTGTGGAGAAGCTTTCATTTAGACAGGCAGTTTGATTGAAAAGTTCACTGTCGCTACCAAAGAAAAAATTTGTGCCGCTACCCTCATCGAATGATCCGTATATAGCAAGTCGTTTACTTACGCTAGAATCGATCCCTTTCAACATGAGATGATCACATTCATCGTGTTCTACATGTTGCAACAGTTAAACGGTACATTTATATGTACCTCACGTTGCAGTAGAGTGACAAGGATAAAACTTGCTAACGTTTTTATATTCGCATACTACTCTTTATATAAATTTTAATGATAAAGCTTAAGACTTAAAATAAATATTTAAACAACAGAAATAATAAAAATAATTATGACAGACTAATGAAAAAAAAATATAGAGAAAAATATTAAAAATTAAAAAATTGTAAAAACGTTTACAAAAGATTATTTATCAGTAGAACGAAATATATTTTAATTAATATAATTAAAAGAGTAAGATTCCTTGTAACAATAATAATTAAAGTAAAGCAAAACTTGGGCAATTAGGAATCGGCGCTCGTAGTGGTGCGCTTAATAGACTAAATACATTACAGTCAAATAATATATTTTTCTATAATTTGATATCATACGTTTCGGCTAAATTCTAGCCTTCTTCAGCAAATACATTAACAAATTGCGTCACGATTAGTGATGAGTATGTAGACTCCTTTGGTTTATCTTCCATGTGATACTCCCATGGCCAGTTAGTGAGCTGGATGGTCTCATGAAAGGACCTCAGGAGTCAGCAAACGTCCACGCAAATATATAATCCATGTGTGATTGCACAATGTCTAAAATAAATTAAAAGTTAATAACATAGTTAATGTAATAAAATTAGAAAACGATCACCGATGTTGATGGTTACGAGTCTTACCGAGAAATGATTATTATATTTTAATTATTTTGTGTGCATATAGTTGTTAATTAATAATTCAATTGCGTCAGTGGGTTAGAAGGAAATTTCTGAGGGGTGGGAGGGGGATAAGGGTGTCAACCGTTTCAGAGCGCGAAGCAGGCGCGGATGGCTAGAGAGGAGGTGAAGAGGGCGACTAAGCGGGAGGGTAACGGAGAGAGAGAGACGAGAGAACGGAGAACACCCTCCACATCTGCCACCAGATTTAACTATACATTACAGACACACGATATGTCAAAGTCCTATACTTCATATCGACTCCGCCATTTATTAAAAGTTTCATCGCGCGCGCCTCGCTCGCGCCACCGATGTTCGGCAGCCCGACCCCTTCTTTCAAGCGCACTCCGAAAACATATAGGAAGAAAGGCCCGAAATATACGAACGAAAAGTTCGAGAAAAGAGCTACGGGAGAAAAAAGGTGTGCGCGCGTTCCTCAGATCGACACAGTTGCAGCGCTTCGCGTGATAAAAGCGACTAACGCTATCTTTCTTCGGCGATTCTTTATTTTACTCTCTTTGCCGTGTAAGGCGGAGTTTCCCCGATAACGGATTCTTTGGGAGAACTGCGCAGCGATAATTTTCACCGTTTGAATCTCTACGTTCGTTTTATTAATCTCAAAATAATTCGCCGCTTTGCTTTCTGCAGCGTTTCAAAAGTTGTCATCAAAATCTTTTCCATTTTAAAGCAGCACGTTGCGCTGCAATATTTTTGTTGGGAATAATAAGTTATATTTGAAATAATTTTGCGCACCGCGAAAAGCTTAATGCTAGAAAAATAAGATTCTTTCGAGCTCACCCTTTTTGTGACGATCGCGGAATTTCTGCGTGTCGGATCTTCGTATTTCCTCCGGCTGCTGCCGATTGCGAAATGAAGTTTTATATTAAGCTTGGAGAGTTTTCTCTCTCTCTTTTTCTCTTTCTCTTTCTCTTTTATTCCGTGCGCGCGTCTCTCGCTCATTTTTTTTCTTTTCTCTCGTGCCATCGCTTTTTCTCCCACGCTCGTCCTCGCCCTTTATGTATTTACGTACCGATAGATCGTTATATCGGCGTTTGCATATATATTGACGTTGCTGTCTTTCCTGCGATGATGCGTGATATACGTACTATAGGGTGTACAAAAAATGCATACCTGCATCTTTGCAATAATTGTCATTGCTCAAATATTCGTCATTACAACAGCTTAATAATAGCACTGTATATCAAGTGATTTTAGGATTAGACATTTCTATTCTACCATATAATATGAACAAAAATTTAGCTAGAATAATATTTTATAATGAGAAATCTGGGAGGGTTACTTAATATTTACTAGGTCATGGTCC